CTTGAACTCGCAACAATCCTCCTGCCTCAGCCTCCTGAGTAATGGCATTACAGGCGTTCGCCACCACCCCCAGCATAAGATCCACTTTCAGATACAATGGCCATACTGGATTACAGTAACATTTTCTCTTTTTTTTATTGTCTTTTATTTTCATTTTGCTATTTATTTATATATTGTATTTTTCATGTAAGAAAAACCACGCACTATGTAAGCTTATGTGTCTGATTCACTTAACATTATGGTCTCATGGTGCATCCATTTTCCTACAAATGGCAAGTTCATCCTTTATGGCACAGTAGTAGTCCATTCTGTACAAATAACACACTTTCCATAGCCATTCGCCTATTGATGGATGTATAGGCTGCTTCTGAGACTTAGCTGTTATGAATTGTTCTGCTATAAACATGGGTAGGCATAGATCACTGTAATATGATGTCTTTAACTCTTTCAGGAAGATACCCAGAAAGGAAATACCTGGGTTGAATGGAATTTCTAGCTTTAGCTTTTTGAGGAATCTGCATCTGATTTCCATAGTGGTTGTACCAGTTCACACTCCTACCAACAGTGGAAAACACCCGCCGCACCACATTCGAACAATGGAGACCGAGTCAGTGAGATGTCCAAGTCTTTTCTTTGTCAGAGACCTGTAGCCTGCGCACCTCTAAGTCCTTTCTGGGGCTGGGGCTCAGCCATCCAAAGCCAGGGAAAAGAAGGCCTGAGGACCCTTGTGGATAGGTGGGGAGGCAGCCATGCTGGCTTCGTCTGACCTTCAGCCTCTTGGCCCTCCTGGTACCCCGGATAGCAGCGAGCCATGGGCACTGTTAGGACCAGTGCCTCCAAGGGGGAAGGACATCCTCTGGGTCACAGAGCAGGGGCAGGGAAAGCTTGCTGTGCAGGGTCTTGGCACCTGTCCTCCCTGCAGCCTCCTACCCAGGGCCTACTTGCGCTGGACACATGCCTATGGGCTTAACCCACATTCAAGCGAACGGGGCATTGGCTAGGACCCAGCCCTGGCTGTTCCCGCTCTGACTCAGGGTAAGGGAAGCCGTTTGGAGCGCCCTTCCTCTTGGACGAGGCTGGTTTCTGGGCTCTCAGCCCCCAGGAAGTCTCTAGACGCCTGGTCTCAGCTTGGGGAAATGTCTTCTACCTTCTCCCCAGCACGCTTTGTTATGTCTCCTCAGCGTCCCCCGCAGAATGTCCGTGGGAAGCAGACATTGCAAACTCAGCTCCGAACGGGGGTGGGAGGGTGCGGCGGACCCACTGGGCTCAGGCTCGGGAGGGTCCTGAGGTGCCCCAGGAAGAAGGGAATCTGATTCAGCACCCGGGCTGTGCTCCAGCCGCGCCCCACCCAGCAACACCAGCAGCAGGACGGTGGACTCCAGCCGCGGCTGCTGCTTCCCGGCGACTGGGTGGACAGAGGCCTGAGTGCCAGCCGTGGGTGTGGTCCCTGGAGAGTTGGCTGCTGGCTTATCCATCCATCACTACTTCACACACTGACAGAGCTCCCGCTTCCTCCCCGGCCCCTGGCCCAGAGCATCACTGGCCCTGCCTGGCTCCGGAGGGCAGCGCACTCCTCTCTACTCTGAGCCAGGCCTTCCCAGGCCTGACAAGATTCCTCTGTAGTGCTGGTCCCCAGCCATAGCAGCCCTGGCCTCTCCGGTGGCTTTGAGGGGAGCCCACCAAGGCTCTATCCTGAGCAAGCGGCTGCTTGGCCCTGGAGTTACTCAATGTCCTAGTGGCCCATGGCTCACCAAGGACGAGCCTCAGGGTAGGGTATGAGACCACAATAATCCAGCCTCACAGCTGGCCACTGAGGCCACTCTCAGCAACTTCCCTTCTGTAGACCGCAGAAGCACATGCGGAAAAGGCCAAATCAGAGCTCCGGAGAGGCCCTGGGACCCGCGTGCTCACAGAGGAGGGTGTTGCGGGCACTGTTCCTCCTTTTTGCTTGCTTTGAGAAGCCACACATCCGTAATTTGTTCCAAGAAGGATATTCTGGGCTTACTCCTTTTGGACCACAGTGTGCTCAGCATTTTTCAAAATGGGAACATCTCAGAAGCTGGGTGTGCTGGTGCATGCCTGTAATCCCAGCACTTGGAAGGCTGAGGCAGGAGGATCATTGTGAGTTTGAAACCAGCTTGGGCTACAAAGTGAGCTCAAGCCCAGACTGAACTGCATAGTGAGACCCCGTCTCAAAAGGACAAAAAAAAAAAAAAAAAAAAAAAGATAGGCTTTTCTAAGCCATGCTTGAAGCCCTCAACTACCCCCACCTACAAAACACACTTTTCTTCTGCCCATTTTTTCTCACAGCCATGAATTCAAATTTTGCCCTCCAGGTAAGTACTGCCCTGTGGTTTTCTGACATTTTTTCACCATCAGAGGGAGCCCCAGCGGGGTCTTCCAAAAGCGGTGGCAAGCCAATTAATGGGCCTGGACAGTCGTCCCAGTTCCCCCAGCAGCTGGCGTGGTCATCGTCATGCGGACCCTGGGTCCCTGCCTGTGTCAGGGCCTGGTGAAGGCGTGGGTCAGACCCCTGCATACTGCTGCCCGCTCAGGAGCCCATCTCTTGGGTCTGCGGCTCTTCATCTCTGGACAAAGCTGAGAGGCCCTTGGGCCCACTCAGCCCTTGTGGCGCACAGCCGAAAGCCTGGATCCCCCGGTGCAGTACCCACGAGCTAAGAGTGGACTCACTGCATTCTAAGCAGGCTCAGCCATAATTTTTTTTTTTAAATGAAGGGCAAAGACGAGCATTAGGCTGGGAGTCTAAATCCCAGTCCCCGATTCCCACCCTGTTCCTGAGTGCCTTGGAGCAAAGGCCACCAGCCCGGCTTCGTTTCCTCACCTGAAATGGGCTGAGGTACGCTGTGGAAAAGGTTTTCCTTATGTCGGAAGGATAGACTCAGGCTTCTGGGCTGTGGTCACAAGGCCGTGCTGCAGCATTAACTCCTGGGAGGGGTATTTCTCAGGGCCTTTCCCGTCTTCTCTGCATCCCCACTGAGCAGATGGGAAACTGAGGCCTGGAAGGGTGCAAGGCCTGCCTCCGGGCAGAGTCAAGACTGAACGCGGGCCTGGGGTCCCTCACTGTGCAACCCACCTGTGGTCCAGGTGCAGTCCAAGCACTGCGATGTGAAGACCAAGTTCATCACACACATACCCTGCACCTCCTGCGCTATCAAGAAGTGGATGTGTCCTTCAGGCTGGCTGCTTCAGCGTTTCCCAGACAAGATATCCCAGAACTGCCGGTATGAGCCCCGCCCATCCTAGCCTGCTTTCAGAAACATCCTGTGGGGTGGCAGGGTCAGGCCCTCAGAATGGGGTAAGGACTCACCCAGGAGTTTCTGTGCCCTCCAGGGAGGCAGAGGGGCACACGATGTTTACGGGCATCTATTATGTGCCAGGCCCTGTCCCAGCTCAGGGAGATGGAAGAGGTGGCGTGAGAGCCCGGAACAGGGTGGGGAGGTGCAGTGGGGCCTGCAGGTGGGAGCTGCTCCCCTCTCTGTGCCCGCTCTCACCAGCTACGAGGTGCAGCTCGGGGACTCGCTGGTGTCCATGAGCGGCTGCAGCATGGAGTGCTGGAAGGATGTGGTACAGAAGGCCTGCTGCCCTGGCTACTGGGGCTCCCAGTGCTATGGTAGGAGAGGTCTGCCTTGCTCTGCCCACACCAGCCCTAAGCCTGGCCCTGGGCTCCCCACCTGCGGGAGCTGCCTATGTCCTTCCAACGTGTTCATGTAAAGACCACCTTCTGAAAGTCGTCCTGGCTTAGCCTCCTAGCCATGGGTGCCCAGGGGGTGGAGGGGGCCTGGGGCAGGGGCAGGTGGAGAGTTCGAGGGCCAGAGCTGAGTTCTTGGGATCCACAGAGTGCCCCGGGGGTGCTAATACCCCATGCAATGGCCACGGGACCTGCCTGGATGGCCTGGCTGGGAACGGGACCTGTGTGTGCCAGGTAAGGCCTGGGTAAGGTTGGGGCGGGGGCACTTGGAAAGGCGACACTGACTTGGTGTATCCCCCAGGAAAACTTCAGCGGCTCAGCCTGCCAGGAGTGCCGAGACCCCCGCCGATTTGGGGCCGACTGCCAGTCGGGTAAGGCTTGTTACACCCTGCCCCCCCCCTCCTACCGCTCAGCCCCGCACGAAGGGAAGCAGCCTTGCTTCCTCGCTCCTCGCTACCCTCTAGGCCTTGCTATTCTGAGAGGCCTCCTTCAGGAAGCACCCCCGAATCCCCAGGCTGGGCCGTGTGCTTTCTCAGGACTCCACCTGTGGTCCAGTGTCACAGCTCCAGACTCTCAGGTGTACCTGGAGAGCTGAGTTCTAAACATGCAGAGGGCAGGAACCCCGTGTCCCTGCACGTGGCTTGGTGCAGTTGAGGGCTCACCTCTCCCTGTGTGTCCCTTGCAGAGTGCAGCTGTGTGCACGGCGTGTGCAGCAGTGGGCCACAGGGGGACGGAAGCTGCCTGTGTTTTGCTGGGTACACTGGCCCCCGCTGTGACCAAGGTGAGCACACTGCGGGGGCAGCCTGAGACAGCTGGTTCTCCGGCCAGGGCAGGGGAGGGTGACTGCATCAGGACAGGCCTGAGTTTCTGCAGGACCTCTGCCCACAGCCTCACAGGGGACAGGGCTGTCACTGGGACTGCCACGTCTGGAGACTCAGAGAAGGCAGAGCCCTGCTCAGAATCCCGCAGCAAGCTGGGCAAAGGATCGTGGTTCCTATGCTGCACCTCAGCCCGGAGATTTGGGCCCTCGCAATGCCCCTCCCTCTGTCCTCAGAGCTGCCTGCCTGCCGGGACCTGAACTGCCCCCTGAACTCCCAGTGCTCCCCAGAGGCTCCCACCTGCAGGTGCCTGCCCGGCTATACCCCGCAGGGCAGCAGATGCGTAGGTGAGCCTGTGACCTGAGGTAGGGGTTCTAGCTCGTGGGGCGGGACTAGGAAGGCACCCTTTTGCCTCAGCAAGTGCGACCCAGGTGATTACAGAGGGGTAAGGGTCCATTCTTCAAGGCCCGGATCACCCTGCACCGCCTGGCTTCGGGCCACATGGTGGAAGCTGTGAAGGAGACGGGGCTACTGGGTGCCCCACTCACGCGGCGCTCTGTGCCCTGGCAGCTCCTAACCCCTGCCAGTCGTCACCCTGTTCCTCGATGGCCCGTTGCTCAGTGAGTCCTGAGGGACAGGCTCAGTGTCACTGCCCTGAGAACTACCATGGCGACGGGAGGGTGTGTCTACCCCAGGATCCATGCACCACCAACTTTGGCGGCTGCCCCAGCAACTCTACCGTGTGCGTGTACCAGAAGCCAGGGAAGGTGAGCCAGGGCCCCGGGAGGGCCTGGGCCACGGTCTTCCCACCCACTCTGGCTGTGGGACCCTGGGCAGATCCCAGGCCCTCTGAGAACACCAGCCACCCCATTGGATGGGGAGAGGTGGGGAGATGACAGTCCCAGTCTTGGAGGGCAGTAGTGGAGGGAACGAGATGCATGGCAGTAGTTCTCTGGATTCTCACAGATGGGTACTATGTGCCCCTCTTGCCCCTGCAATTTGTACAGGCGACGTGCACATGTCAACCAGGCCTGATCAGCGTCAACCAAAACCCCTCTGCGGGTTGCGTCGCCTACTGCTTCCCCCACTCCTGTGACAAGTCAGCCACTTGCCAAGTAACCCCCGAAGGGAGGACCAGGTGGGCGCCGGAGGCTCGGGGGAGCATGGGCGGGAGCAGAGGGTGGGCTGGGCAGCATACGCACTCGGTCCAGGGGCCTACGAGGGATGGGCAGGCGAGGGCTAGGAGAGGGCACTGGCCCCTATCCCTGCCCTGACCCGTCCTCCCTGGGCCCCCAGGTGTCTGTGCAAGCAGGGTGAGGTGGGGGATGGGCGTGCCTGCTACGGACACCTGCTCCGTGAGATACAGAAGACCAACGAGATGGGCACACTGTTCCAGCGGCTGAGAGTCGCGGTCGCCATGCTGGGTGAGGGTCCCCCAGGGCCTGCCGTGACCCTGGGCTGGGGAGGGCGGGCCAGACTCTGCAGAGATTCCAGTTTCTCTGCCGGAGAGCTTAGAGGCAAACAATGAGCTGCTGCGGGGTGCGCGTAGAAGGGGGAGCTGGGCCCCAGCCCTGATACCCCTACTGCCCCCCCCAATCCCCAACCTAGGACGGATGCCTGAGATCTTCCCAGACCCACTCCCTTTCCCCCAGGCTCTCCCCAAATCAATGTTGACGCTCCCTCCCCCGGCCACTCAGAGCAGGGCTGCCGAGAGATCCTCACCACGTCGGGCCCATTCACCGTGCTGGTGCCGTTGACCTCCTCCATCTCCTCCAGGAACATGACTGTGAGCCCCTTGCCTTCTCCCCTGGGTGCGGGCCCCGCCTTCAGGACCTCGAGAGCGTCTCTCCCCCGAGCCTGTGGGAACCGAGGGGGGGTCGTTGTCCCTTTGTGCTCGGGCGGGGGCGGGGCGCGATGTGAGGGCAGGCTCATGCGGCCCTCCGCGCCTGCGCAGGCACTGCTTGCCCAGCAGCTCTGCAGGCAGCACGTCATTGCGGGCCAGCACATCCTGCAGGACGGGGGGACCCCGAGTACACGCAGGTGGTGGACGCTGGCTGGCCAGGAGATAACGATCAGCCTCAACCGCTTGGTAAGGCAGGGACCACAGCCTGGAGTCACAGGTGGAGGACGCGGCCCACGCAAAAATGTGGAAATTTGGAACAGGGCGCTGGCATGTGGGGTCTAGCGAGATGGGTCTTGTGTCGTCTCAGAGATACACCTACACGTACGCGGACCAGCCCAAGCAGACATTCACTGTCCACAAGGCCAACTACATCGCCGCCAACGGTGTCTTCCACGTGGTCAATGCTCTTCGGGGGCAGCCCCTGCCTGCACTGCCTGGGGACCCCAAGGTGAGCCAGCACACCCTTCTCCCTCCCTGCCCCGTGGTGCTGGCTGACCTCTGAGACCCTCAGAGCTGGGGCGGGGGGCAGTTCTTGGCAGGCGGGAAGGAGCCAGGCTCCTTCCCCCTCCGTCCGAAGCAGCCTCACCGCCCCCGGCGCTCTCACATGTGCCCCTTCCGACAGCAAACTGTTGCCCAGATCCTTGCCTCTAATGAGGTCTTCAGCCGCTTTGAAACCATTCTGGAGGTGAGCTGGCAGCGGGGTGCAGCCCACCTGGGCTTCTGGGCCAGGAATCCTCACTGCCCTCAACTGCCTCACGGTGCTCTGGGGTTCTGGGGTATCCCGGTCTTTGCCCACCTCCCATGGAAAGCCTGTGCACCCCAGTCCTGAGGTTCTGTGGGAGCACTGTCTCTGTCCCACTTGGTGGGAGTTCCCCGTGGGCTGAAGGTGGCGGGACTCAGTGGGGCCCCGAGGCAGAGGCTGACCGTGGAGTCCGCTGGCCTCCCTCTCTCTGCGGCAGAACTGTGGGCTGCCCTCCATCCTGGACGGGCCTGGGCCCTTCACGGTCTTTGCCCCCAGCAACAAGGCTGTGGACAGCTTGCGGGATGGCCGTCTGATCTACCTCTTCACCGCGGTAAGCTTGGCGGGGAGAAGGGCCTGCAGGGCTGGGGGTCTCTACCGGGGCCTCTACCATTCCCAGCGGGGCCTCCAGGAGCCAAACGCCTTTTGCCCTGCCAGGGTCTCTCCAAACTGCAGGAGCTGGTGAGGCACCACATCTACAGACGTGGCCAGGTGAGGGCTGCTCCTCCGGGGCCCTGCCGCCGTGCTGCTGGGGACGGCTGTGCATCTGGCCTTGCCAGGACCCCTTCTCCTCCTCTCCTCCTCTCCTCTCTCCTTCCATCTGGACACTGTAGCATGGAGGAAATCCAGGGACCCAGGGGTTGGCGCTGCGTCCCCTGGGCAAGGAGTGGCCAGTGCGCAGACTTAAGGCACCCTTTCTTCACCCCAGGTGACTGTTGACAAGCTCATTTCCAAGGGGCGGATCCTCACCATGGCCAACCAGGTCCTGGCTGTGAATATCTCTGACGAGGTGAGATCCAGAGGATCTGAATCTAGGGACCAGGAGGGGGGCTGGAGATGACTGGCCAGTCCCCCAGCCTCTTTCCCACCTGTCTGCCCTGGGCCCTATGGGGTCAGGACACCGTGCTGACCCAGCAAAGCGGGCATCCATCAGATTTCCCTCCTGGGGCCCGTGGGTGGGAGAGCTCCCCGGAGACGGGCTGAGCACACGCAGGGATCCTCGCTACGCCGCGGCGAGGCCCACCAAGGCCTGCTAGGCTGGGGGCTCACAGGCTCGCTGCTGCAGGGGCGCATCCTGCTGGGACCTGAGGGCACCCCTCTGCGGCAAGTGGACCTGCCGGCTGCCAACGGCGTCATCCACATGCTGGAGGGCATCCTGCTGCCCCCAACCATCCTGCCCATCCTACCCAAGCACTGTGATGAGGAGCAGCACAAGATCGTGATGGTGAGCCCCCGCCACAGCCCGTGCACCTGCCCTGCGACCCCTGCGGCCGCCCGAAGCAGGGACCAGCTTCTGAGCAGAGGTGCTGAGTCCACATCCTGTTGCCGTAACAATGCCCAAGACTGGGCTTTTCACAGAGCAGGAGGCTATTTCCGCTCATGGTTCTGAAAGCCCCAGGGCGCAGCGCTGGCATCTGCTTGGCTTCTGCCGAGGGTCTTGTACACCGCAGGGCCAGGGAGGACGCAAAGCGGTGCCTCCTCACCCTACCACAATTCACCCTTGTTTTTTTTTTCCGGTGCCGGGAATCAAACTCATGACCTCGCGCTTGCCAGGCAGGCGCTGTGCCGCTGAGCTAAATCCCCAGCCCCCACAACTCACCCTTGTGCTAACTGGCCCACTTGGGGCCTCCATCAGTCCATGTGCCGGGGCAGCCCCCATGACTGTAAACACCTCCTCTCAAAATGGCTGCCCTGGGGGCCAGGCCGCAGCATGAGTCTGGTGGAGACAACCGCGTTCAAACTGTAGCAGGCACCACGTCTGGGTGGGCTGATGGTGACACCGAGACCCAGCCGCGGGCTCCCAGAGAGCTGCTTGTGTTTGCTGCTTTCAAGCCTGATGATTCCCACTTCCGGATAACCCACATGGTCCACCCCTCAGCCCCGCCTGCCATCTCCTCGCCTCCCACCTCTCCCACTCACTCCATCCCTCCCCTGCCGCTTTCCCCGAGATGCTACACTCTCCCCACCCTGGGACCTTTGCCTTCGTCCTTCCCTCAGCTTGGGACACCTTCCCCGGCTGACCCTGTACCCTCCCTTCCTCCCCTGCCCTCCCCTGCTCTGTCCAGAGTTCCTGTGTGGACTGTCAAGCCCTGAACACCAGTGTGTGCCCCCCGGACAGTGTGAAGCTGGTGAGCATCCCTCAGCCCAGCCCCAGGGCTCCCTGACTCCCCACTACTGGCTTGTGCCTGGGTCGCAGTGGGGCGTAGGGGGTGGGAGGCCAGGCCAGATCTGGAAGACAGTGCTTCCCAGAGGCTCCGAGGGTGGCAGTGTTGGAGCCAGGCCTGCCTCGCCAAAGGGCTGGCCCAAGACCTGCCCCCTGACTGGCTCTGCATGGCCTGCAGCAGGACATCTTCCCCAAGGAGTGCGTCTACAGCCTCGAATCTGTGGGATTCAATGTGCTGAAGAAGGGCTGCGCGTACTACTGCAACCAGACCATCACGGTGAGCCCGGGGAGGGTGTTGGTACCCCAGGGAACCCAGGCACCCGCTTCTGTCCTGGCCCCTGAGCTGGGCCGAGCAGGCTGCCTTCCTCAGAGCTACACTGCGTCTTAGTGGCGGAAAAGGTGCCCTGGAGGGACCCGCTCTGGAGTCACAGCAGGGAGCAGAAGCGTTCTGGGGAGGGTTGGGTGTGGCCTAGACCCACGCATGCTCCGTCTCTTACAGAAACTTGGCTGTTGCAAAGGGTTTTTTGGGCCTGACTGCACACAGTGTCCCGGGGGCTTCTCCAACCCCTGCTACGGCAAAGGCAACGTGAGTCCCCCTCCCCTTCTGGGCTGGCAGTGACTGGCTGTGGGTCAGAGCCGAGCCTGCCTCTCTCCGGCTTCGGGTTCCTCATACGTAGGTGATGCTGGTTGGGCAGAATTATTTCCATTATTCTAATTAGAAATAAACTGATAGCTTGCTGCCTCTATTTTTTAAGAGGCTATCGGTCAGTACAGTTGCTGTTTTTGTCACTTTGTGACATCAGGGCCACTGTAGCGTCAGTGATGGAAGAACGCAGGAGTTAGGTGTCCTGGGAAGAGCACGGGGCCTCCAGGACCAGGCACCTTTCAGGGGCTTGTTATTTAAGGGCCGCATTGGTGATCCTGAAGGTTGAGTTCTTGGGGGAGCAGGTGCTCAGAGCCGCCCAGGGAGGGGACGTTGTGGGACAGGATGGGCCGAGTCCCTTTCGCCCGACTGACCCTGTATCCCGCCCACCTTCCAGTGCACTGACGGGATCCAGGGCAATGGCGCCTGCCTCTGCTTCCCGGACTACAAGGGCATTGCCTGCCATATCTGCTCCAACCCAAACAAGCATGGAGACCAGTGCCAGGACGGTGAGTGGTCCTGGCCCAGCCCACCTCCCACACTTAGAAAGAGGGCCTGGGGCTCCCAAGAAGGGAACAGAAATAGCTGTTGTCTCCTTCATCCATGCCAGAAAGAGAACTGTAATTTTTTTTTTTTTTTTTTGAGAACTGTAATTTAAAGCAAGCAAGATTTAGGTCAGACACATTGGAGAACTTCCCAATGGTGGTATTAGGAGCAGAGCAGCTGGAATAGGGCAGAGGAAGTGCAGAATGCCTCCCTTCACGTTCCATCTGTCTGGGATGACCTCTGATTTTGTAACCCTGAAGTCAAATTTCTGTTGGCTGCCCCATTCCTAGCCTCCCACCCTGACCCTGCTAACCCAGTCCTGGCTCCCGATCAGCACTGCCTCCTGCCTCAGTTTCTCTGCTCCCATCTGCGCCCTGTAGACTGCGGCTGTGTCCACGGTCTGTGTGACAACCGTCCAGGCAGCGGGGGTGTGTGTCAGCATGGCACATGTGCCCCCGGCTTCAGAGGCCGTTTCTGCAATGAGACTGTGAGGGACTGTGGCCCCACGGGGCTGGCTCAGCACTGCCACCAGCATGCCCACTGCATCAGCCAGGACGGTGCCTCCAGGTGAGGGCTGGTGCCTCCTCTCTGTCCCGTCAGTAATCTTGTGCGTTGGTTCGCTCAGCGTCCCGCGTCCCTCTCCCACCCACCCCAGGTGCGTCTGTCTCGACGGCTTCGACGGCGATGGCTACTCCTGCACACGGCGCAACCCCTGCTCCCAGCCGGACCGCGGTGGCTGCTCAGAGAACGTTAGTTCCCTCACCCCTTCCCTGGAGCTCTGAACCAGGGGCAGAGGGAGCTCCCTGGAGCCCTGCCCCGGCCCTGCATCCCTGAGTCATTTATCCATGGCTGTCACAGGCTGAGTGTGTCCCTGGGGACCTGGGCACTCACCACTGCACGTGCCACAAAGGCTGGAGCGGGGATGGCCGCATCTGTGTGGCCATTGATGAATGTGGGCTGGACACTCGAGGTGGCTGCCATGCCGACGCCCTCTGCAGCTACGTGGGCCCGGGGCAGGTGAGCAACGGCAGTGTCGGGGGTCTCTCTCCCAGGGACTCTCCTCTCTGCTGACTCCAGGAACATCCGCTGCAAGCTCAAGCTCAGGGTCTGGAAGCTCAGATACAGATGCAGGCCGTACACTCTGGGATTGGCTCCTTGGGGGTCTCTTGTGTCATAAGGTGCCTGGCAGTACCTGCTCTTGACTCAGGCGATGTGATATCCACCAAAGTAGGAAGACAGCCATCCCCACTGGACCTGGAAACCTAGCTCTAGCGCTTTGCAGCCTCAGGTGCTATTCAGTTTCTTAGAACCTGGGGCCTTCCGCCTGAAGCGTTACAGGCCTAGTGAATATGAATTCCGACAGAGGTTCCAGAATATCTGCCGCGCTAGTTAGGAGGCAGGCCCGGCTGTCTCAGCGTCAGCCTCCGCATGGCTCAGGCTTCTGTCAGGACCCCTGGGGCTCCCTGCCTCCCAAGTGCACAGTGGCCTTGGGGCCCCGGCCGATGGGGTCTTGGCAATAAGAACTTGTGTGGGCGTAAGGGCTGGAGTTCTGATCCTCGTCGGGAGTCTGAAAGTCCATAATTGTGGTTTTGAATGGGCAGGTTGAGATGTCCCCAGTTTGCAAACGTGTGGACAAGCCCAAGGGCCCTGGCACTTAGTGGGAGGGGCAGGGGTGGAAAGGGAACCCACACGCCCTCCCTGGGCCGGCCTCAACAGGCTCCTGCCCACTTGCCACAAGCTTCTGACCCCCGTGCCCTGGCAGGGCTCCCAGTGCAGTGGGGCACCAAGCGCCACAGACGCTTCCTTACCAAACCATCATCTCCTCAGCTTCACCCTGAGAGCTGGGGGTCGTCTGGAGCACGGATCTCCAGGGCAGGGTGGGAGACGCTCCCGTGGGGTCTGGGCCAGGCTCTATGGGGAGCAGTCCCCAGTGAGCGGGTGGCAGTAGAGGAGGAAGGTGGTGGGTGCTCCCGGTGAGATGAGGCCCTTTGCCCCCTGACCTCCGCAGAGCCGATGCACCTGCAAGCTGGGCTTCGCCGGGGACGGTTATGAGTGCAGCCCCATCGACCCCTGCAGGGCAGGCAACGGCGGCTGTCACGGCCTGGTGAGAGGGCCGAGGCTCAGCCCTGGGCAGGCTCTCAGGGGCCGGCCTGGCTGCAGTGATCTCTCTGGGTATCTCTGTCCCTTGACAACTTTGAGATCTTTCTAAACCCCAAACCCTGCCACGTCACTCCCCAACCCCCTACCCAGCCTCCTCTCTCTGCTCCACCCATCCCTGTTCCTTGCTCCTCTGGCTGCTTCAAGCTCCACGCTGTCCGTGACCTCGCTCCCGCACCACAGCACCTCCCTTTCCCCAAGTCAGTGCTCAGCTCAAGCTCCCTGAGGGTGCAGGGCTCCCTGGGTGCACCCCGCAGTTTCCATGTCAGATGCTCAGATGCCCACTGAAAGTCAGAGAAGCTCAGGAGGAGGAGAGAGAGAGAGGAGAGCTGGGTGGCTGGGCAGGCAGAGGGTAGAGATGGATGGGGAAGGGGAACGGAGGCAATGGATGGCCAGTCTGCCGTATAAGTGCTGAGTGGAGGGCCATGTCTGTCTGTCTTCTACCCCCACTAGGCCACCTGCAAGGCAGTAGGGGGCGGTCAGCGGGTCTGTACATGTCCCCCTCATTTTGGGGGTGATGGCTTCAGTTGCTATGGAGACATCATCCGGGTAAGTGATGGTAGCTTGTCCTCTCTTCCCTGGGCTCGGGCAGGAGTCCTCCTGTGCACCTCAGGTGGGAAGGTGGGTGGTGCTCAGGGTCCCTGGAGGGGAGGAGGTTGCACTGGTCATGAGGCGCATGACTTCAGCTCTTTCCCTCCCTGTAGGAGCTGGAGGCAAATGCCCAATTCTCCACCTTCTACCAGTGGTTCAAGGTAGGACAGGGGCCTGGGGGCTCAAATCAAGCAGGCCTTTCGGGAAAAGGGGGTGTCACCTAACACGGCCAAAAGCTGAGGCTGCCTTCTTCACTGCTGCCCCTGCTCACGGTGTCCACAGAGTGCTGGCATCACTCTTCCTGCTGACAGCCGCGTCACAGCCCTGGTGCCCTCCGAGTCTGCCATCCGTAGGCTGAGCCCTGAGAACAAGGCCTTCTGGCTGCAGCCGAAGATGCTGCCATACCTGGTCAGGTGGGGTGGCTGTGAGGGGGCCAGGCCACAGGCGGGGGGCTACCGTGGGACCCAGGCACTCCCCAGCAAGGGAGAGGAGCATGAGGTCCTCTCCTGGCGTGTGTCTACCTGTTGGGGGAAGTGCCCAGTCCCAAGGGTCTCTGTATGTTACAGTAACCTGGTTCTGTCCCCCCTAAACTGTTGTCCTTCAGGGCCCATTTTCTCCAGGGCGCCCTCTCTGAGGAGGACCTAGCCCGGCTAGGTGGGCAGGATGTGGCCACGCTGAACCCCACCACGCACTGGGAGATCCGCAACATCAGTGGGGTATGAGGTGAACTCTGGGCAGAGGAGGGGGCCGGACGGTGTGGGAGGGAGCGCAAGTGCTTACAGATTCCCCCTGACCAGGGTTCGCAGAGAATGCGGTTAGGGTCCTCTCGCCCTATCAGTTCAGGACACAGAACTGATGGCAGTACCTTTGGGCCAGCAGTGATCTCCCCGTAGGGGCTGTCTGCACACATACCCTGCCCCTCTCCTTGTGGACCCTAGCGAAGGTCTGTGCCCCTACGTGGCAGAGCCTAAGTCTGAGTGTTACAAGCCAGGCTGGGCCACTCTCAAATATGTCTCTGCTCACTGCTCTGCCTTCTGCCTTCCAGAGGGTCTGGATACAGAATGCCAGCGTGGATGTGGCTGACCTCCTCGCCACCAATGGTTTCCTACACATCGTCAACCAGGTATGGCAGGAGGAGGGTGTGTGCAGGAGACTGCCCGGACAGGCCAAGAGGCAAGGACAGCCCTTTTGTTCACCGGCACAATAGGTCTTGCTGCCTCCGCGAGGGGACTTGCCGGTTGGGCAGGGGGTGCTGCAGCAGCTGGATCGGGTGCCTGCCTTCCGCCTCTTCAGGGAGCTGCTCCAGGTAAAGCAGGATGGCAAGAGCAGACGCCTGCTGGAGGCACCTTGTCCGGTCTGGATGAGGCTGGCTGGTAGCCAGTGTCAGGACTGGGATTAATATGCCCGTTCCTAACCCCTGTCCCCAGCACCACAGGCTGGTGCCCCAGATCGAGGCTGCCACTGCCTACACCATCTTTGTGCCGACAAACCAGTCTCTGGAGGCCCAGGGGAACAGCAGCAGCCTGGTGAGTCCACGTTTCCCGGGGTGGAGGAGCCCCCTGTGCTAAGGCAAGAAGGGGCACAGTGAGCAGTGATGCCCAGAGCGCCTGGGAGTCCCGCATCCCCCTGAGCTGAGCCCCACCCCCCAGGACGCAGACACGGTGCGGCACCACGTGATCCTGGGGGAGGCGCTGTCCGTGGCAGCCCTACAGAGGGGGGGACACCGCAGCTCCATGCTGGGTCCCGTCCACTGGCTTGTCTTCTACAACCACAGCGGCCAGGTTTGAGGGGTCGGGAGTGTGGAAACCCTTCCCCGGGGACTGTGCTCTGGAAGACCCCTTTGCTTTGGAGTGTTTCTACTTAGGAGCCTCTAACCTCTGCTCCTGGGACACCTGTGCCCGCCTCCTTGGAGCTGGCCCTGTGTCCTGCAGTGTGTCCTGGTTGTACAGCCCCTTAAGTGATGGAGGTTGGGGGTGTGGGCGCGTTCAACCTCTGGCCTCGCTTCCCAGCCTGAGGTGAACCACACGCCGCTGGAAGGCCCCCTGCTGGAGGGTCCCGGCTACTCACTGTTCGGCCTGTCGGGGGTCCTGACTGTGGGTACCAGCCGCTGCCTGCGCAGCCACGAGGAGGCCCTGCGGGTGAGAGGCTGGGACAGGCCTAGCTGGGGGGAGGAGCCCTCAGGCAGCCACCCCGAAGGAAGGACAGCGGTCTGGGGGCCCCAATCTGGACCACCTGATGCTGTTCCTCCTGCCCTCAGGAGAAATGCATAAACTGCACCCGGAAATTCCGCTGCACTCAGGGCTTCCAGCTGCAGGTGAGGCTGGGTTTACCACAGCCGTCCTCCCCTGCTTCACTGCCCTCGGCTCCCAAGTAGCCCCACACCCCTAGGACCAGCTCGGCCACGTGCGTGGGGAACTGGTGTGGCTGGGCAGCACCCCCCACCGCCCGGGGGAGGCCCAGAGGCCAGGGTTCTGGGGAGGCCTCGCTCACCCCTGAGGCACAAGGCCAGGGTCCGGCCGCCCTGCCCCAGCGGGTCTGTCTTGGGCCCTCCTACACAGGGGTGTCTTGCTCCCATCTGACCGGCTCATCAGCTTAGCTACCTGCCGTCCATTCAGCTGTCTCCTCACTCACTGCCTTGTCCCTGCCCGGCCCACTGGCTGACTCTCCTGCCGTCCCCATTCCAGGACACGCCCAAGAAGAGCTGCATTTACAGAGCAGGACTTGCCTTCTCCCGGGGCTGCTCCTACACCTGTGTCAAGAAGATCCAGGTTTGCCCCGGACCCCCTGCCCCACAAGTCTTTGGCCAGGGAGGAGTGCGGACAGGGGAGGAGCCCAGGCTGGATTTTTGAGGCAGCAGCAAGCAGGGATGGTCTGAAGAAGGGAGGGGGAGAGATCCAAAGTCAGAGGGCCGTGTTTGTCCTTCTGTCCATCCCCTGGAGAGCAGGGCTGGGACAGGGAGAAAGGGACTCAGCCCAGGGTAGGGATTTCTCGTCACGGTGGGAGCCGGCACTGCCCTTCCAGCCGCGAGCCTGTTTGCGCAGCCCTGCCAGGGGAGGGTGGCAAAAGGCATTCAGCTCTTATCTGCTGCCCCTGGGTTTGTGGCCCCGAGATGCCCCCACCTCCCCCTTGCCCCCGGCATCCATCCTGCCCTGGGTGGGACTTTTTCTTCCTTCCCTAAGCCCCAGCCTTTTGCAGGTGCCCGACTGCTGCCCTGGCTATTTTGGCACCCTGTGTGAGCCGTGCCCCGGGGGTCGGGGAGGTGTGTGCTCAGGCCACGGGCAGTGCCAGGACAGGTTCCTGGGCAGTGGGGAGTGCCGCTGCCACGAGGGCTTCCACGGGACAGCCTGTGAGATGTGTGAGCTGGGCCGCTACGGACCCAACTGCACCGGAGGTGAGGACTGGGAGGGGCGAGGTGGGCACCGCGGGGAGCGGCAGGGTGCAGGCGCCGCGTCACCTCTGTGCCCCCTCGTCCCCTCACAGTGTGCGACTGTGCCCACGGACTGTGCCAGGAGGGGCTTCGCGGGGATGGAAGCTGCGTCTGTAACGTGGGCTGGCAGGGTCTCCGCTGTGAGCAGAGTGAGTGGGACGCAAGGGCATGGGGTGGATGATGACGAGGGAGGCAGGTCCTGGGTCTGAATGACAGAACCTTCCTCCCGTCCCCAGAAGTCACCGGCTCTCAGTGCGTGAAGAAATGCAACCCCAATGCCAAGTGAGACGAACCTGGGGGAGGTGGGCAAGTAATGGGAGGGCAGGAGGACTGGGGGACAGGGCAGGGGCTGCCTCGCGCAGGCTCACCTGCTGCCCTCCCTCCCAGCTGCATACAGAGCTCGTCTGGGGCCCCTACCTGTGTCTGTGCCGCAGGGTACTCGGGCAACGGCAGCTACTGCTCAGGTGCAGCCCCCTGGGTGCCCCAGGCCCTTTGCTGAAATGTTGGGGGTGGGCGTCCCCCATTGCTGTCCGAGATGGGCCCTACCCCTCCCTCTGACCTTCTACTGTCTCTCACGGCCTCCTCCCCTGCTCCACCCCCGCCCCATGCCCGTTCCTCACAACTCTTTGGAATGATCTACCTAGAGGTGGATCCCTGTGCCCATGGCCACGGGGGCTGCTCCCCCCATGCCAACTGCACCAAGGTGGCACCTGGGCAGCGGACGTGCACCTGCCGGGATGGCTACACGGGTGACGGGGAGCTGTGCCAAGGTGAGGCTGGGCCCTCCGGCCCAGATGGTCATAGGGCCGGAAGCCCGGTTTCAGTGATGTGAAGCGGACTAGGAAGGGTTGGAGGTCACCCAAGGTGTGGAGGTTGGAGTTCCAGAAAGGGGAGGGATAAGCGGTACGGACGGATGGATGAGGGATGGAGGGGCCACCAAGGGCCACCCCTCACCCCAGTGTCTCTTTCCCCAGAGGTTAACAGCTGTCTCGTCCACAACGGGGGCTGCCACATGCACGCCGAATGCATCCCCACAGGCCCCCAGCAGGTCAGCATGGCGGGGCTGGGCCCTGGGGATGTCCATTTCCCCAGACAGTGGGGCCTCCTTCCGACTGGTCCTGGGGAGGGGGCAACCCTTTTATCCAGGGCACTGGGCACTCTTGGCTCCCAGCAGCCCCACTGATCAGGATTTGGAACAGGTGTCCTGCAGCTGCCGTGAGGGTTACAGTGGAGATGGGACCCGGACCTGTGAGCTTCTGGACCCCTGCTCCAAGGTCAGGTCCCCTGCAGCAGCACATTTTACAGGGAGCAGGGACTGCGGCGGAAGCAGCCCGCCTCATCCCAGGCGGACCCCGCGGGCCTGTGCAGGATGGGCCACCTTCCCTTGTCTGGACCTTGATACAGAAATAGGACTTTGGGGGCAGGAACTTCATGACCTCACAGCAGGGCTTGGTGTGGCGGAAGAGTTGGGGAAGCCACTGATGCCTCCTTTCCTGCCCCTGCCTCAGAACAATGGCGGCTGCAGCCCGTATGCTGTGTGCAAAAGCACAGGGGACGGCCAGAGAACGTGCACCTGTGACTCACCCCGTACAGAGGGAGATGGTTTCACCTGCCACACTCGAGTTGGCCTGGTAAAGATGCCCAGTGTGCCCCTGACCTGATCTTGGCTGTGCCCCATGGGGCTGAACTAGAATTTGATCCTGATCCTGGTCTTGACCATGACCCTGCACCTGACTGGCCCTCGCCTCTTCCTGGGCCTGACCTCACTATGACGCGTGACGTAATCCTGACGCTAGCTCAGACTCTCCGGCTTTCCTTCCCACGCCTCTGACTTGGCCAGACCTTGCGGTGCAGGTGCTGGGACAGGGAACAGGCCCTGAATGGGGCCACCCCAAACCGGAGCTGACCCTTGCTTCCCTAGGAACTCTTTCGGGACAAGCTTGCCTCGTTCTTCAGCCTCCACCTGCTAGTGAGTAACCAGCCTGGGCCCACCCGTCTCTCTCCATGTGCCCGCCTGCTCAGAGTTCGAGTCTTTTTGGGGTGATCTGTGGAACCTCAAACTGTCTCTCACTTCTCCAGGAATACAGAGAGATCAAGGGCGATGGGCCCTTCACAGTCTTCGTGCCTCAGGCAGATCTGGTGACCAACATGTCGCAAGTATGGAGCCTCCAGGGGGAGGCTGGCGGGGAGAATACTCTGGCAGTGGGCGCCGCGTGGGCAGAGGTGGCAATCACAGGCCCCCATGACCTGCACGATGCCCCTTTAGGATGAGCTGGCCCGGATTCGGGCACATCGCCAGCTGGTGTTTCGCTACCACGTGGTCGGCTGCCGGAAGCTGCACAGCCAGGACCTGCTGGACCAGGGCTACGCCACAGCGCTCTCGGGGCACTCGCTGCGGTTCAGCGAGAGGGAGGTGAGCAGGGTCCCTGCACCCACCCTAGTTAAATCCGTCGGTTCCCTGCCCCCAGCCTGGCCCAGATCCTCAGATTTAGGACTGAGCCAAGGACGCGTGAGCCTCACACCTGCTTGCTGCAGTGAGGTCCAAGAGCCCGGCCCCCTGCCTTGACTCCACCCCAGCTTCTCCCTCAGTCCTGAACCCAGCAGTGGGCAGTCGGGGCAGACTGTGCTCTGCTCCTCCCGGCCGGCCCCTGCCCCCAGGACGCACCTGCAGCTCAGCTCCTCCCACTCCCGCAGCTGCATTCAGCCCATGCCCCACCCCCAGGGCAGCATTTACCTCAATGACTTCGCCCGGGTGGTGAGCAGCGACCATGAGGCATTGAACGGCGTCCTGCACTTCATCGACCGCGTCCTGCTGCCACCGGATGTGCTACACTGGGACCCTAAAGCTGCTGCCGTCCCCCGGGTATGACCGCACACAGGGCCAGCCGGAGGGCGTGCAACAGGGCCTGGGATCCTCCTTGCCGCCTGACCTAGCTGCTCACTAGGACCTTTCCTTAGAGAAATGTCACCACCACTGCCGAAAGCTTTGGTTACAAGATCTTCAGCCGCCTTGTGAAGGTACTGCTTCCACATGTGTGCCTGACAGTGTTTGCGTCCCCTGTGGGTGGGCGTGCCCATGCGCACTCTCCATGCAGACCACGGCTGCATGCGAGCCTGCGGACCCTACAGGTGTAGGTGCCGACAAGTGCGCTCCTGCACAGCCGTCCGCCTTACCTGTCCTTCCACCTTCTGCAATTTCAGCCCCCTGGGCTCAACTGCAGTCTGAAATTATGAAGTGGAAAATCCCAGAAATAACTCACAACTTCCCCCCAGTGTCCCTTAAATATCTTATAAAGTGATACATCCTGAGGAACTGTCATTTATTATTGTTGTTAATCTCTTACTAGGAAAAATGGGCTGCGTAGCGTTCAGTACTATTTACAGTTCACGCATCCTCAGGGTCCCCTGAGGGTGAAGGACGTGGCTGATGTGAAGGCCACCCTGGCCGGGGTCCAGTGCTCCACCCCGACCCTAATCTCTGCTCCAACCTACCACCAGATGGCTGGCCTCCTGCCCATGCTTCAAGACACATCCCACTGGCCCCTCACAATGCTGTGGCCCACCGATTCTGCCCTGCAGGCCCTGCCCCTTGATCGGCGGGCCTGGCTCTACCACGAGGACCACCGTGACAAGCTGGCAGCCATTCTCCGTGGCCACATGATCCGTAATATGGAGGTGGGCACCCCTCACAGCTTGGTTGGTGCCCACTGCCTGCTGCTTAGCCTGCCTGCTGGCTCCAGCTGTGGCTCCGTTTGTCCAGGCCTTGGCATCTGACCTGCCCAACCTGGGTGCGCTCCGAACCATGCACGGGACTCCCATCTCCTTCTCCTGCGGCCGTGGCAGGCCCGTGAGTCTGGGGAGAGCACTCAGATAGGAAGCAGGAAGGGCAGGGAGGGGCGGCAGGGCCTGTCTTCCCATGTGCTCCACGCCCTGCAGGGTGAGCTCACGGTGGGTGACGGTGACGCCCGGATTGTACAGCGGTACCTGGCCTTTGAGGGTGGCCTGGCCTATGGCATCGACCAGCTGCTCGAGCCACCTGGCGTGGGCGCTCGCTGTGACCACTTCGAGGCCCGGCCACTGCAACTGGTGAGGGGGACCACAGGCCACAGGCGGATGAGCTGGGGCCCAAGCCCAGCTGTCCTGTCTACACCTGCCTGACCGTGTGGCGTTGGCCTCTACCTTTTCCAGAAGATCTGCAGCGTCTGTGGGCAGGAGCCACCCTGTCCTGCGGGCTCACGGGAGGAGGTAAGGCGCCTGGAGCTGAGTTTAGGCAGTAGGCAGGGGCCAAGCTCGGGCTGCCTACGACCTGATTCTTCCTGTCCCAGGGCAGCCCTGAGGCCTGTTGGCGTCTCTCAAGGTTCTGGACAAACTCTCCACTGCGCCCCTTCATGCTTAGCAGTGTATGGGTGCGGCCCAACTACTGGCACCAGCCTCAAAACCTGGGCAGGGGCTGCCAGCGCTCCTGCGCCACCACCATCTGGAAGCCTGGCTGCTGTCCCGGTCACTATGGCAGCGAGTGCCAAGGTGAGCACCCTGAGCTTGCGGACTCCCCCGGGCTCCTCCAGCCCCCAGTGCAGCAAGGCCAGAGCTCTGGTCTGCGGCCCTAAGAAAGGTGACTGAGGTCCTCCAGGGCACGGAGGTCTGGGCGGGGAGTAATTTTACTAGAGGGAATGGTCAAAGGGGGATGGACACGTAGAGGGTGCAAAAGCTGCAGAAGTGCTGGAGCCTCGGGCTGTCTCCAGGGCCTGGCAGCAGGGGTTTCGCTGCCCCTGGTGGGGGGCAGATGCCAGGACTGGGCTGCGTGTGCAAGTGTCCTGACGGGAGCCCCTCCCAACCTCATTCCTCACCCCCCACCCCCCAGTTTGCCCTGGTGGCCCCAGCAGCCCTTGCAGTGACCACGGTGTGTGCCTGGACGGCATGAGCGGCAGTGGGCAGTGCAGATGCCATGTGGGTTTTGCTGGGACGGCCTGTGAGCTCTGCGCCCCGGGTGCCTTTGGACCCCAGTGCCAAGGTGGGCCATCCCTGCCCTGTCCCATCCTGCCCCAATTCCCTTGGCCTACGTGCCCACCTTTATCTTCCTGCCTGTCCCTCTCCACAGCCTGCCGCTGCACCAGCCACGGCCGCTGTGACGAGGGCCTCGGGGGCTCTGGCTCCTGCTTCTGTGAAGAAGGGTGGACTGGGCCCCGCTGTGAGGTCCAGCTGGGTGAGTGTCTGTGGTGCTTGTGCCCGTGCAGCACACTTGGGCACACCTCACACTCTTGGCTGCCCCAATACACGCACAGGGGGAGGCCCTGAGGGTGGCTGGACAGGTGGACACCAGGAGGGCAGCTACTGACCTGGCCGTATGGGGATGGGCCCTGGGACAGAGTTGCAGCCTGTGTGTACCCCACCCTGTGCACCCCAGGCCGTGTGCCGTGCGGGCAACAGCTGTGAGTGCAGCCTGGGCTACGAAGGTGATGGCCACGTGTGCGCAGGTGAGCAGGCGGCTGCGTGGTGCGGGGGGCACCCCCTTCCCTCCAGTCACCTGCTTTGACCACTTCTGCTCTGTCCCCAGTGGCAGACCTGTGCCAGGACGGGCATGGTGGCTGTAGTGAGCATGCCAACTGCAGCCAGGTAGGCACAGTGGTCACCTGTACCTGCCTGGCCAACTACGAGGGTGACGGCTGGAGCTGCCGGGCCCACAACCCCTGTGCGGACGGCCACCGTGGGGGCTGCAGCGAGCATGCTGACTGCCTGTACACTGGCCCGGTAAGCCGACAGCCCAGGTGGGGAGGTCCCGCAGACTCACCGCCCTTGTGTCTGAAGGACACCCACGCTTCTCCCTGCTCCTAGAGCACCCGGCGCTGTGAGTGCCGTGCAGGCTATGTGGGTGATGGACTGCAGTGTCTGGAAGAAGCCAAGCCGCCCGTGGACCGCTGTCTGGGCCGGCCATCACCCTGCCATTCGGATGCTGTGTGCACTGACCTGCATTTCGAGGGTGCGCTCCCCTGCCTGCTGCCGGCACGCCGCTTTCTCTCTCTGCGTTCTGGCCAGCTCACCGTGCTTCCCTTTTCTCCTGCAGAAAAGTGGGCCGGTGTCTTCCACCTCCAGGCCACCAGTGGCCCTTACGGCCTGAACTTCTCAGAGGCTGAGGCAGCGTGTGAGGCCCAAGGTGGTGGCCTCGCTTCATTCTCTCAGCTGTTTGCTGCCCGGCAGGTGCGTGAGCTCAGGAGTTACAGCCAAGCCTCTGGGGGCCTCTGAGTTGGGCCTTGGGTCTCAGCATCCCTCCTGCTCTTGCAGCTGGGCTTCCACCTCTGCCACATGGGCTGGCTGGCCAATGGTTCTGCTGCCCACCCTGCACCAGACTGTGGTGATGGTCAGGTGGATGTGGTCAGCCCTGGCACCCGAAGGAACCTCTCGGAGCGCTGGGATGCCTACTGCTACCGTGTCCAAGGTGCGTCCATCACAGCAAGCCCATGCCTACTCCGCCCCTTCCTGCCGACCCACTGAGTCATTGGCCTGCCTTTCCTGCAGATGTAGCTTGCCGATGTCGGGATGGCTTTGTGGGTGATGGGATCGGCACGTGTAATGGGAAGCTGCTTGACGTACTGGCTGCCACTGCCAACTTCTCCACCTTTTATGGGGTGTGTGGGGAGCCAGCCTCAGGGGTGGGGTGTGGGTGCCTGGATGCCCGGTGAAGGAACCTGCCCACAGCCCCGTCTTCTCATCCTCCCAGATGCTGCTGGAGTATGCCAATGCCACCAAGCGAGGCCTGGACTTCCTGGATTTCCTGGATGATGAGCTCACCTACAAGACACTCTTCGTCCCTGTCAATGAAGCCTTTGTGGATAACATGGTACCGGTGGGGGGATGGGCACAGCAGGTCCCTAGTCCGCTCCCTCCGCCTGGCCCAACCTAGCAGGCCTTTCTCTACCCAGACCCTGAGCGGCCCAGACCTTGAGCTACATGCTTCCAACACCACCTTCCTGAGCACAAATGCCAGCCGGGGGACCTTGCTTCCTGCCCACTCAGGTCTCAGCCTTGTCATCAGTGATGTGGGCTCTGACAACAGTTCTTCGGCCCCTGCGGTGAGTCCGGCTGCTGCCCCGCCCTGCTGGTCCTGGTCCTCACCTGCAGGGCCTGACTCTTCTCTCCCTGCAGGCTCCAGGGACAGTCGTGGTTGGGCGTGTCGTTGTGTGGAACATCATTGCCTTCAATGGCATCATCCATGCTCTGGCCAGCCCCCTCTTGACACCTCCACAGGCTGTGAGTCTGGGGAAGGGGAAGACGGAGCTGTACGGGGCTTTGGCCAGGTCTGTGATGCTCTCCTTGTTCGCAGGGGGCGGTTATGGCGCCCGAGCGCCTGCCTGTAGCAGCGAGTGTGGGGGCTGTGGTAGCCACCGGGGCACTGCTTTGTCTGCTGGCAGGAGCCCTCTATCTCCGAGTCCGAGGCAAGCCCACCGGGTTCGGCTTCTCCACCTTCCAGGTACGGCTGGCGAGACAGGGGCGGTGGCTGGGGTCACGCCTTCAATCCTACATGAGGCCTGTCATCCCTCTTAGGCGGAGGATGATGCTGACGACGACTTCGCCCCCTGGCAAGAAGGGAGCCCAACCCTCGTCTCTGTCCCCAACCCTGTTTTTGGCAGCCACGATGCCTTTTGTGAGCCCTTTGATGTGAGTGCGGGGGGTGTGGAAGGGGGCCCAGGGCCCTGTCTGGCGGTGCTGCAACCGGCCTCCCTCTCCCAGGACTCACTCCTGGAGGACGAGTTCCCGGACACTCAGAGGATCCTTGCTGTCAAGTGACGGTCTGAGGTCAAAGCAGAGCCGAGTGGGAAGCAACCACTTTTATTGCTTATCTGGACAGATGCCCAGTGTGGACGGGGCAGGAGGGAGTGGGGGTCTGTCCTGGACAATAAAGGTACCCTCAGCGGATATGGGCCATGTCGCCAAGGAAGGGTGTCTTCATGCAGCCCGTGCAGAGCTGGTCCATCCAGAGGGGTGCCTCGTGCTGCAGAGGTGTGCGGCGTGGGTAGAAGGTGAAGTCCACGCGGTAGTTGAGCAGGCAGCTGAGGGAGGCCATGTAGAGGTCGGAGAAGCGCACGAGGCGCCTAGAGAAGTAGGTGGGGTTGTGGAAGGTGCGGAAGATGCTCCCGAACTGAGCATTGAACAGGGCCTTGGTGATGTACCTGGGGAGGGAGAAGGGGCGCTTGAGGCGGACGCAGGAGGGCCGGGAAGGACTCCTCCCCGGGCTGCCCCCGCGCACCTCAGCTCCTGCCGCTCCTTCATCCAGGCAGCCAGCACCTGTTGGGACTCTGCGTCCTGATAGGTCTGCAGTGGGAGGAGACAGTGTTGGCTCGTGTGCCCAGGGCCTGCAGCCCTTCCCCCCGACCACGGCCCACACCTGCATGCGCTCGAGCAGCCCGGTCAGCGCCTGCTGCCAGGTGAGCGAGTGCATGTACTGCTCCGTGTTGATGATGCGGATCTCGCGCTCCAGCTCGGGGATGATGGCGCCCGTGCGCCAGCCGTGCCGCAGCATGAGATCCTGGCAGGAGAGTGGGGTCAGCGACACCTGGGTAGCTCCCCCGCAGCCCCGCGGCCTAGCCCTGTCCCCCTCACCGCTAGGTCACTGTAGAGGTGGTCTCCGAAGTAGAGCACTCGGGGACCGCGCCACTCTGTCAGCCGCAGGAAGTCGAACAGGTTTCCCTGGGGAACGGAGAGGCTGCTGAGTCAACTCTGCTCCCACGGGCTGCCAGCACCAGCCCCCCAGATCCTGCCGGATGCTGGGCTGCCCTTTCCCGCGGCCTGGCTGTGCCGCAGTCCTTACCACTCACCCTCCCACTTGAGAAGCGGGTGTCTCCCTGCTGCAGGGTGGGCTCCTGTAGGCCCGGTGCAGTGCCCTAATCCTCAAGGGCCTCACCCCTGCTCCAGGCTAGATGTTAAGTCCCTGTTTCTGAGAAACAAACCATAGGGAAGGCCCCACGCTCTAAAGCAAAGAGCCCTGAAATCCTTATTGGCTGCCTCAGCCCAGAGGGATCCAGGACACCAATGGCAGGGCTCACTGGCCGGGCTGTGGGCTTTTCCTGCTCCAAAGCCAGAGAAACAAACACTCAGCCAGGCCCAAATATAACTGGAAAGGTCAGGGGGCACAGGGGCCAGGGCCAGAAGTGCAGCAGCCCTGCTCAGACACAGGAGCAGGGACGTACACTCTGTGAAGCATAATTCAGAGGTGTCTGCCCCCCGCCTCGGAGGGATGGGAACAGCTGGGACAGACGATTGTAGAAGAACTTAGAAGTGAGAAGCAGGGAGACCCACTGAAGGCTGTGACCCCGGGACCAAGGGAGGACCTTAAGGGGCAGCAGATGGAGAGAGGGCAGAGAATGACAGGGACTTAGGGCGAGGCTCCTGAGAAGCAGGCAGGATCCAACACACACAGTGCAAAGAAACTCCAGAATGTAGGATTAGGAGCCGCCTGGCAGCTGCAGAGGAAGCAGTTCACATTCCTGCAAAGGCGCCTGCTTCCCTCCACCACGGGCAGGTGCCAAGACTAGGGAGCCGAGGGGACAGCATGTGCCGAGGGGCTGTGGGGAGCAGGGGTGCAGCAGGGCAGGACGCTGAGGGGTGCGAGTGCTGCCTCTAGGCCAGGCCTGAGCACCTCGACACTGCGCCCTGGGCCAACTGCTGGCTTCCTGCAGCACCAAGGCCTCTGAAATCTCTACCCCCGAGACGCCCGGCTCAGCCAGGATTTCCACATTCCAGTCAAGGCCAACTGCCTTAATCAGCTCCTGCTCACGGCCACCCAACGGTTCAGCTCAGCCCCTGTATCTTCCTAACGAGGCAGGAAGAGCATCTCCGCGGGGCTTTCAGGAAGTGTCCCCATAGCCTGGCTCGAGAACCCTCAACTGGGTCTGCCCACAGCAGTGCCATTCACTGGGTACTCAGAGGGCACAGGACATTCCAAGGGCTTTATGTAACCATTCAAGGAGAGCACCAGCTGCTTTCGAGATAGGGCGACTGGGTCAGGCTCCCTGTGCTACTGTGTGGGGCCGGACTGAAACTCAGGCAGCATGACCGGAAGCCAAGCACCCTCTCCCCATGACTCAGCCCTCCCAGACCTGCTCCCCACACCTCTGCCGTGGTGACCGGCAGTCACTGCCACTGGCTCTAGCCCCGCAGTGTGAGGCTGGCCAGGACTCTGGGAGCTGCGATGCCTCCTCAGAGGCTGTGGATACACAGGCCGCCCTGCCAGGTGCGCTCTTCCCAGACAGCCCTCACCTGCCGATAGATCTTGCCCTTTTCCAGGCGAGTGATCCGGTCCCAGTGGAGTGAACCCTTCTCATCAAGTTTTCGGAAAGGCCTGGGGTGAGAGTTGAGGGCTTGATCTCGTTTGTGCCTCCTCCATCTCTGCAGTCCCACCCACCCAATGTGCGCCACTAGCAAGGTCACATTCTCACCCCAAACACATAGTGACAGGCAAAGGCCAGTCTGGCCCGGTGCCTCAAGTCCCCTCACTAGGGCTGGGGCCTCCACTTCCTCCACCCCACTGCCCGCTTCCAGGACCATACTTGCGCCGGTCAGTGAAAAAGCTGGGTTTGTCTGCTTGGACAATAACCACGTCAAAGAGTTGGCGCCAGTCGGGACCCACCATGTGCCGCATGCCCTTGTCCCTGTGAAGACGTAACACAGGCTGCAGGTAGTCTGGCCACCGGGCCGGGGCTGCAGTCCCGCCCCTCCCTCCACAGTGGGGCCGGACTCACACAAAGCTGAAAGGACTGTTAGTGATGAGGAACAGCTGTTTCCCATGGGACACCAGGCGGCTCAGAACTGCGAATGTTTCGTCCCCTCTCAGGATATACTTCTCTGAGGGGGAACATGGTCTATGAGGGCCGGCCCTTCTCCCACTCACGCAGGCCAAGGAAGGGCTGCTGTCCACTCTTACCCATGTCTCGCTCAATCCACTGGTACATGAGGCCTTTCACATGCACATCTCGAATGGCGTCCTGGAAGACGGGAGGACAATAAGGGCTCAGCAGGGTCCAAGAAGGGCCTGCCTTGTCATGGCTGGCCTTCGCGCCAGCTAAGAGGCAGTCCCAGAATCCCTACCGTCACATCTTTGTAGAGGTGTGCTTGGTCAAACTCCAGGCCGTGGCCCAGGAAGTGGTCCACCACGCAGGACAGCAGTGCCATCTCCGGCAGAGAGAAGATGTCCATGAACTGCTTGATGGAGGGGCCCTGAGGAGAGGGCCATGTCTCAGCCATCCCTCTGACCCCACCACCCCAGCTCTGGGGACTAACAGCTCCAATCTGCCCTGGGACACTGTCAAGAGAGCTCGGTATTGGCTCAGGGCTGGCCACTGCCTTGCGGGGAGCCAGCATCCACGGTGAGGTCATGAATATGTGGCCCTTCGGGGAGCAGGGTGAAGGGTATACCTTGCCGTAGAAGCCGCTCATCTGGTAGAGTGGGATGTGCTGGGTGCCTCCATACAGGTCGATCACCTCCTCATCGGGCACGGGTTGGAGGCCCCTGATCGGGGGCACAGACACCATCATTCCAAGCCAGGCAGGGTGGTGGCTGGGGCGGGACCAAGGCAGAGTCAGCACTCACCTGTAGGCTGTCCCCAGCTGCACATAATGGAAGGCATCGATCTTCATCAGCAGGCTCTGGGGGCACCCGGAGGCAAGCCGGCAGTGAGGAGGTAGCTTTTACCACCGAGCAGTAGAGGGTTCTCCACCTCACTCACGTTCCTAAGCCCTAACTAGCTGCCCTGGGCCAGCCACTTCCAGCGCCCGTGCCAAAGCCTCTGCTGGAGGGTCCCAAGGGGATCAGGTGCAAATCAAGAGGAAGTTACAGCTTTGAGATCAAGAGGGTGGACAGATGAGACCTTCCTTAGGGGAAAGGGAGGCCTAGGAAGTCCGTGTACATGTCCAGCTAGGAGGGCCCAGGAGGCCACACCTAGCCACTCACCTTCTGAATGTCATAGTGGAGGCCACGGATAGCAAAGCTGGGGTTGTAGTCATACTTGCGAATTCCCTCTGGGTACTATTGAGCAAAAAGGACCAGGCCTAAGCCAGCAGCACTGCCAGTCCTGCTGGCTGGGCGGCCACCTTGGGGGGTTGATCCAGTCCCTGCCCAGGGGACCGAGGGAGTCCCATGAATTAGCCTGCGGCTTAGGTCAAGCCGGGCCCCACTGGCTTCCAGGGCTCGCCTCACCTTGTAGTGTTCAATCAGGATGTCCCGGGCAGCACTGAAGATCTCAGGGTGCAGGGCATCTGCATACTGCGCCAGCGTGTAGTCATAGTCAAAGCCGTAGACCTCGACATCACGCAGGCTGATCTCATTGTTGGCGTAGATGGCTGCTGGGTTGAGGAGGCTGCAGACCTCAGGGGGCAGAAGATCTAGCGGAAGGAGATGTGGTATGACGGAGATAAAGATCACAGCAGTGCTACCCTGGGCACTTTGTGGGTACCTACCCCAGTGAGCTTCATAAAACACCCCAAGATGGTGACTCCTAGCCTGGTGCTGCAGTTGATAAAACTGAGGCTCAGAGAGAAGGCACTTGCCAGGGGCCCATGGGCCAAGCCCATGGCTGGAGCTCGTCCTCCTCCTGCAGCCATCAGGCTCTCACGGAGCCCCATCAGACACACGACTGTGGTGGAACCCCGGCAACACCCCCAGGCAGGCAGCCCCTCAACTCCTCAAATGGCTGAAGAACAGCTGCTCTTGGGACAGTCTACAGCACACATCCTGCCCCTTCCTCAGAACCAGTTCAGGAGCACCACTGTCGGTCCCTCTCTTGGCTGCCCACTGGCCATATCTATCACCTCCTTTAAGGGTAGCACGTAGGGACTGAGGAATCTGTGACGGGGCTGAGCCGATGCGTGCAGCCTTTCCACCTTGCCCAGAGCTGGGGTTAGGGCTCAGAGACATTAGCGAGGTGGGAACCCCCTCTGCT